TTCTAGCAGATGCCCTTGCCCCACAGAAGCTTGAAGCACAGCCTGGTGGCAGCCCAGAAGTACAATGGCATCTGGTATGATACCATCTTTTCCCCCCTCATTTTTCAGATGTTTTCTCCTAGACAGCATCCTCATTTTCATTTGGACCATGGCCGGAGTAGACCACACCTCAACTGAAGTTACTTGCTAAATGCAGAAATAACAGAGAGAAGAACCTGTGGCTTGTTTATTTAGGCAGTAAGACTAGAAAATAGTTGTGATTTCTCCTGGGTTATAATACTGTAAAACCTGCTAATAATTTCCCCCAATATAGTAATTTCTGAGTGATCATTTTACTGGAGGCTTAGGTGAGCTGTACTTGTGTCTGAGCATCTCAGAACACTTAGCTGAGGTGAAATAAAAGATAAGTAAAGTCACAATAGACTTCTTCAGCTTTTAAGAAATAAAACCAACAAAAAAAATAAAGAAATTAACCAACCAATGACACCACAGATTGCCTTCTAAAATCTAGGAAAGAAGAGATTTACTGGCTGTATCTCTCTTCCATGAAGGAAATGAGTTCCACCTACAGAGGACAAGTGCAAATTGTGCACTTTTCTACCCAAAAGAGCAGGGGTTTACGAATTGTTCTTGAAACTATTAGTTTTTTAAATTTTGAAATTTCTAAGGAAAATCAAGTGCTAAAACAACCAGGTCTACATTTACTGGTATGTATATTTGTTTTACAGCCATTACTACTTGCAGAAGGGGGTCGAGCACCTCTAAGAGCTGAGGGTTTTGTCTCCTGTCATAGTCAGCCCTCATGATGTTGTTAAAATACACAGGCTGTGGCTGGCAGGTGGTAGTTATGTCCGAACCTAGGCAAGGTTTTGTTGCAGAAAAAGCTGGAAATGTTTGCTATGTTCAGTGGTGAGGCAGTGGGGAAAGCATGGGGGCAATGCACTCACAGCAGCCGGGGTTGCTAAGCACACAGCCTGCTATGCCTCTAAGCAGGCAGGACCCGGCAGAGCCATTAAGTCTGGAAGAGACTGAGTATTTAATAAGCTGCATGCTACCATGCATTTACATAGCCTAAGTTGTAGTAAAGCCCTAGCAGGAAAGGGTCAAAAGTGCAGGGCTGGAGGGCGAAAGCCCACGCAGACCACATTGTAACCCATCCTGTCCTCAGCGGAAAAGAACTTAGGGAGGAACCACAAGAAAACAGCCTCATTCCAACCAAGGAGAGCTTTAAAGGCCAAAAGGCAAGAATTTTAAAAATGTAAATTTAAAAAATAATTGAAATTCTAGCACATGTGACCAGGTCTGGCAAAACTCAATTACACAGAGGTTGCAGGGTATCTGCATGCCCCCAATAAACCAAGCGTAAGGAGTGCAGTGGAAAGGAAAATGAGATTCCCGTCCTTTGTGGTTTACACATCTAAAACAAAATGACTCTTTGCTCACCCTGTGTGCTCTTAAAACTCTTTCATCTGAATCATTTGACACTTATTTATTTCCCAGTATGCATATTTAACCATTTCCCTGGTCATCATCTTTACCCTGAAACTGCCAGAGACCAGTTTCAGGCAGTGACTCCCCGCAGCAGGCTCTCTATTCTCTCCCTCATTAGCAAGGGGTGTTTAAATACAGAGCTACTGACTTTGGACAGGAGAGCCCATGTATGATTTCACTTCCTTCAGCATAATCACACACTTCAGTGACTGTGCTTTTTGCTTTTCATTTATACTGACGTAACTGAGATTGAAATCTGTCCCACAGCAAATATTTATCAGAGCATATCAAAGGAAAAGCAGACCAGAAGAGAAACAAGCACAACAGCAAGTGCCGTTAAACTTTGCCAAGTTAGATTTCAAAGTCAATGAAAACCACCCCAGAGACAAAGAATTAAAGTGTAGGACAAAGTAGAGCACTGAAAAAAGTAAGTTTCCAGACACTGGTGTCCTACAGAACAGGTTTTGATTACTTTTAACTTGCAAAGATTATGAAGTAAAACCTACACAGAACTAACAATATGTGAACAAAGTCAATGGTCACCACCCTGGTGCTTTTGTTAACATCTTTGCCTTGATACGTAGACCCATGACAGCTATCTCTGCATGTCAGGGACTCTTTCTACACAGTACTATGAAAGCAACAGGACAACATCCACAACTGGCTTTCTAAATGATATAAAATAATGGGATGCCCCACTTTAATTAGATAATTAAAACTGTTTCTGCTTTGCTAGATGCCAAGGACACCCAGTTTCTTGGCAACAGACCTCTAATTTTCTTTCTTTGATATCCAGGTCACAGCCATTTGGATTAGAGGCTCATTTCCAGCAGCAGTGCACAGCAGGGGCACACAGCTTCCTGTCCTGCTGTTGGTATCCCCCCTAAGTTCAGCATCTTGCAACTACATTTATAAAAGCTGTTGAATGTTAAAGCCCTTATAAAGGGTGCTTTCTCACTATTCACAAAGGTCAAGCAACATGTAAGCATATTAATAAATTAGGCAGTCCTGAGCAACACCAGCAACCTCTTAGATAATTTACAAGAAAGTCTCGCCCTCTTCCAGCTAAATAACATGACTGAAAGGGCTAAAACAAGAGAGAGAAGAAAACTCTTCCATCCCCAGCTCTCAAGCTTCTTTGAAAATAAGGTCTACCACATCCCTGACCATTTGCTACCATTCTCCCTTATGAGGGAGAGGAACACTGTCCTATAAGAGGTCTACCTGCTATCCAGATCAGGTGTGGAAATCACATACCTTTACTGAGTGTTGGTCAGCTACCTGGAAGAAAACCATATAGCCCTTAATTCCTGGGCCACTGCTTTGCCTGAACTGACATAATTTGAACTGTGGATCGAACTACATCCTGAAGATTATCAAATGCCATATAAAAGGCACAGGTAGTCTTTCCCAGCCCCACATGAATTGGAAAGGTATAACTGATGCCTGAAGATTTTTAGCTTTTTCATATATTTGTAGCTTTGTAGATTTTTAATTTACAGTTGTATGCTTTCTAGTACTTTTCTTGCCATTTCTCACAATTTAGAATAATAAACTAACTCTAACACATTTTTGAAATTCTATTTAGTCTTATTCTTAGGAAGAGAACTTAGGACAAGAATATCTGGTTCTCCACCAGAACTTAAGAGACACAACAAATAGGGCAAGGAAGCCTCTGGACCGACTCCAAGGGGCTGACCCGAGGGTGGGTTACTGGGGCAACTGATCTTCTATTGGATGTCCTTGCTAGATATACTAATTAATTAAAAATTGTAGAAATCCTTTATCACATGTACAGGTAACCATTTCTGCGCACCTGAAAGCTTTCATTAAAGATCTGCTTTTTATCAGTTGTAAGTTTTTGTCTTTTGATTTTAGGCAACATAACAGCCCATGCTTTTTGAAAACAGCCCATATTTTTGAAAACCAGACAGTTTTCATAGGAAAGGAATATAAAGCATAGTACCAAGGGGTGGGTTAGACAGAAGAACTCATACAGAGCAGATGGTAGTCACAGTGCTTAATGCACTGTTGGAGGGTGCCCAGCGACTCTAGTTATGAGTGACAGAAGAACCTATGGAGGATAATGACTCTGTCACATGCCAGCAATTTATTACATTGTATTCCTGAGAACAGCTGAGGTGAATTAACCACTGTAGCCACTATTTCTATCTACTATTTCTTCTGACATCCCTGAGATCCTGTGTGTAGCACTGCTGCGGTTGCTGATGCCTTTTGGGTCAATGTGAACTTGTTCAAAACTTATTCAACTGGTGGGGTTAGCATGGAGCCAAATCCTCACCCATCAACCACCCAGCAGGTGCATCAGCTTATGCTTGCTGCTACACTAACCATCACTTGGGTTTTGGGCAGCTTGGAGCGTGACCAGAACAAAAGATGTTAACACACAAACAGTTTTACAAAGAAGGTACACCAGGTGTTATGGCAGTACTGAGTAAACATGCCTCCCCCCCAGCTACTTCAAGCACAGGAAAGGTTATGAGGAGTGTGCCTTCTATGCACTCTTAGCTGACAAAGCCAGTATATGTGATAAAATATTTGTATTCTTATGTACAGCCTATATCCATGCCTCCATGCATCACCATTTAGTTCTACAAAACATACTTCAAGTTGGATTATTTTTCATTAAAAAACCCCACTGAGCATTTTCATGAAAATAATGCTGCAAAGTGAATTTTGGCTGAACTCATGGAGGTTATTTTTCTATTGCCTGTCCTCAATTTTATCTTCCTCTAGGGACAGGTGAGATAAACAAAGTAGATTATTGATGACAAATACTTCGGATGTATTTTGGAAATTAAGCTGCCTTTTGATTTTTTACCCCTGGAGAACAGCCGGGCCCTGTAGGGTTGGTATCTCATGCACAGAAGGGGAAAGGAATTAATTTTTACTCAATAGAAGGCTACTTTTTTCTACCAATGAGCACCTCAGAATTACTGTTACTGTTTTATGAACTTCTGATGATCAGGTAGCAGCCATTTTCAACATGATCTTCAGTTGAAAGAAGTGCATATGTACTCCATAGTCATGTTTTGCATTTACCATCTCCTCCTGAACCATCACTGTCCACATCCAATCATCTGCAATGTCCAAGAAGCCAGGGATCAAAGTATGGAGCAAATTAAGTTGGTCTTGGCAACCTTACTATTCTGTATGTGCCAACACAGTAATACTGCTTACTGTAGTTGGGACACAGGTATGAGCAGTTTCAAACCATGACTTAAGATTTTTGTTATGTTTATTTGGGCTATCTTGTGAAGGGAATATTCCACAGAATGATGGCATGCAAGAAAAAGATCTAGTCACCAACTGAAATGCATAAAATTATTACAGTTCTTAATACAAAAAAATTATATAGTTGAGAATCAGAAAATAAAAAAGGAATTTTTCTCTTCCTTTTAAAAATACAAAATATTATTGAAGAAAATGTACTAGAAGTAACACAGAATATCAAATTTTTTTATAAAAGAAAATCTCTGCAAACAATGTTTCAGACTTCACAGAAGAAGCTTGCAAAACAGGCAGATTTATTTATTTTAGTACAATTTACTTTGATCACTTACTTTCAGATAATTATTTTTCCAGTTAATCAGAACCTCTGTCTCATATTTTGACTTAAAAGGTGCTATCACCTTTACATTTCAGTAGAAAACATTGCTTTTATTTGTACTGAAAGCACAACCTTCTTTATTACTACCCCAGATACTACATCCATAGCATCTTTCTATTAACTGTCCACATACAGTTTGAAACATCATAGCCTACTTGGTTGTGATTTCTGGTCTGATGTCATGGAATGGAATTAGAGCTCCTTAGCATCAGCTTTTTCTTCTATGGAGAAAGTTACTTTCTTTACTTCATTATATCCTGTGATGAGTTACCTCAAGCCTGTGAGAACAATTGTAATCTTATCTCTTCGCTGCTCTTTGGTGGTACTTCATTGACCGTTAGCAAGCTGTTACCAGAAGATGGCTGCTTAAAAGATTCTGGATTTTCAAAATGCAGCTTTTAATTAATAGGTATTTTTCTCTCAAATCATCCTGGCAGCAGTCTTTGAGAACAGATGTGAAAAGGAGTTCCTCTAATACTGAAACTCAAGCTCCTTTTAATGTAAGATTAGGGCATACTAACCAAGGAACCTACAGACCATTCTCTTTCTTATCTAAAAAAGGAGGGTCTGACTTCATTAAGGTATTTAAAGACTACATCTATACTTGTCCACTGAAGAACTATGTGCAGATTTTATTTTGACTGTAAATGTGGTAATGCCTGTGAACCAAAAGATCTTTCAGAAAGACAAAATCAACTGTCATTGTCCTCCAGCAAAAACTGGAGATCTTCATTCTTCTCTGTCAGTCAACTTTCTTCATTCTTAGAATCCCTCCCGTTCAGATGCAAGTGCTTCATCAACAGATTTTATATGCTTCTCCCCAGCATAAATGCCATAATGCAGGTTGTCATCCTTTACAGTAGCCCACGACATCTGCTTGGTGGAGAACCTTGCTGCCCACTCTCCTGCCTTGTTGACAACAATGACACCCCCCAAACCCCCAACTCGTGACTTCATGTAGTCTAAGGCAGTGTCCGCCGCTACCTCTGGTGACATTCCTGAAAAGAAAAACAAAATCATTTCATAGTACCTGTCCTGATAGTTTTAAAATTCTCTTAAAATTTCACCCCTTCCCATGGAACCAATCGGATCTAACTTCTCTTTCAACTAGATTGGCAAGAATTTTCCAGTCTAACAAAGAAAGCAATTTTGGAAAGGCTCTGGACAGTTGCAAAGAGCTTCTATGCTGTGGTACTGCTCCAAATATTTATTTACATAGCTTCAGATTTTGATTCAGTTTCAGTGTTTAATACAAACTAACTCACAGACTTTATGTTCAAGACACACCATTTCTTATGCCATCATTTGACTGGAAAAAAATGCCAGTCTGCAAGGTTTTCATCAAAGGTTTGGGACAAGCTAGATCTAAAGCATTTACAATTTGGAAAAACACACATCAAAACAATAAAAAATTTCAGTCATCATCTCTGCTCTAGTTCCACTGGCTGCAACAGAGCTCAAAGCACGTACTACACATTGTCATAATTTATCAAAAGCAGACATCAGCATGACTCTTCCTGAAACTTCTGAAAGAAACCATCAGGCAAAATGAGGTCTCAATGTATTAGATGTCAAAGGACCAGCAATGCAACTTTAGCTTTTCACTACTTGATTCGTATTAGCAGGAGTATTTTCTAAATAAATCCAATTTTATAGGTACATCATACACACAGACCTGTAATAGCTGCAAAATATTTCTTCACTGCAAGTTTAAATATACATTCAGGAATGCAGCTGGCTTGGCCTAATTACCCTAAGATATGGACTGTCAGTCACGTTATGCAGCTTAGGTTATAGAACAAAACCTGACCTTCAAGCCTTCCCTGCAAATTTTGAGTTAAAAACCAAATAAAACCAGCACAGTCAGAATTATTCACAGCACTGGTGACTGACAGGATAAAGCTCCTTACTCTGACGCACGGGTGACACTGTGACTATTCAAGTCAGTGGCACTGTCTTCAAAGGGTCAGTATTTCACTGTTTGATTTTTCACCAAGACAACAGCTGCCACTATAACACTGAAATTCCAACAGCTGTTAAGACTGGCAAAGCAACTCAGTCCTGAAATATAGAAGTAAATTTTGCAGCCTTTGTCCAAAAGAGGATATTTTGTATCCAAATTACCAAATAGCTAAACAGAATTATGTGGGCTCTACAGTTGTTCTTACATATGCAACTCCAGCTCGCTGTTCAAGGACTCAAAAAGCTGTAATAACGTGAGGGTTTGTTTTCAGTGCCTTCATGGAAACATGTGGGGAGGAGGGGCCGGGGGGAATCTAGTTGCTGACACGTTTGCCTGGCAGCTGAGTTATACTTCTGGGCAGAATGAATGAAGGTAAAGCAAGCATGGGCAGGGTGAACAAGTGCAAACCAATTAGACATGAATACATGTGGGTTCATTTTCTTTTTCTCTTTTTCCAATAAACTTTTTAATTTGAGACTCATTTGCCTTTCAAACTGATTAATCACGAGCCAGATAACTGCTATCAATGCATAAGTCTTGCAATGCAGCTAACATCAACCCAGAGAAGAAACTAAACACAGTTTAGACAAGAGCTTAGAAAGCTGTTCACAAATTGAATACTTAGAGACATAATTTAGAGAGTAAAGGGAGAGCATAACATGTTAAGAGCTTTGGGAAATAATCTGTAGGTTGTATTTTATGCTGAAACTGTCACGTCAGCTATGAGATTTAGAGAAATGCACCCATTATATGCAAACAGCCCTATAAAGTACAACAAAAATATTGCAGCTGTTACTTGTCTCTCTACTTACTGCTTCTCCAATGAAAATGTAAATTGAATGTTTTTCAACTATTTCCACTTAAGCTGATCTCAAAGCAAGTTACATTGTACTGCCCCAAAGCTACAGCTTTCTAAAAATAATGGTGATATCTATATTAATGATTCTTGAACTGCATGCAACACAAGTATGTTGTCTGGCTATGTTTACAGGCTGTAACATAATCAAGGGTTTAGATGACAGACTAAGTCATGAAGGTAAAGCTACAAAGGGTCATCCCACAGTCAGATTGCATTACAGCCACATAAGACATACTGTGTCAGCTGTTTACCACATACCCAGCCAGTTTAGTACATTTTCCAAAACAAAATGTCAATTGAAATCATGGTTAAAAAGTCTTAAAATAATTTCTGTTGCTGTAATCAGATACTTAAAACTTTACAGTTTATTAGAAGGGTAATATCCTGTAATTTCTATTTCAGTTCCAGTTATCTGTTTCTAGCCCTCCCTTACTGCTCTCTTAAATATATCTTATTTTTACTTGTTCTTTTTCCTGTTTACAGAATTCTAGTTTATAATTGGAGAAAAAATTATTAAAGAAAACTTTCGTTAAAGTACAGAGTAATGTCTTTCAATGCACACTGATCTAAAGCATGATTCAGTGTCAGGCAGCAGAGGTAATTCTGTTAATCTCAGCTATTTTAGCTTTATTAATACTTTAATACTTTGTTTTGTTTTTAAAGTTTTTGTTTTAACCTATCCACATACCCCTGAGAGCAACTCTTCTGACAACTGTTCTAGGATGATAGCATATATACTGAAACCTGTGACTAGGCAATGTTTCCTATCCTCATTATTTCAAATTACAGGAAGTTTTGGATATACCTTGCTCCATGTGATAGAGAATCAGTCGGGCTAAGACCACTTTCATAATGCTCTCTCCATGTCCTGTGGTTGAAGTGGCACCAGAATGGTTGTCAGCATAACCTCCACTTCCTTTTCAAAGGGGAAAAAAAAGAAGGCAGTATTCTGTAATATGATTTTAAAGCCCTGCATTGTTTAAAATAGGTACCAAAAATTTCTTCCCTTAGGTCCATTAATTCTGTGCCTTTCTGAGAGAAAAGTGTCAGAAAAGCTTCTTTCTCATTTCTGCCACAATTTGAAAACTAAAATATATGAAAGAAATGAACAACAGTTGGAGCAAGTCAGCTGCCAAACTGAGAGAAAAGACTAGTGATCTGTTTGTGAACAAGAGGCAGAAGCAGGCCAACACTCCACAGGAATGGGCAAAAATATTTTCCAGAACAGCAAGGGAGGGTATAATGAAGATCAGCAAGATAGAGTCAGGATGCAGAATGCCAGGTCATATCAACTGAGAAGATATGAAGGAAGATCTAGTGAGGACATTGGTGAGCCGACCAGTTTGAGGGGAACTTACCCTCCACAGCAACTAAGAAATTTAAAGAGCATGGGCTCTAGCAAAACCTCACAAAGCATCCCTGATGAATCTTTGAAGTCCTCACCACAAGCAGAGTGTTTCTTCTGTTAACTCCCCTTTCCCCTTTTTTTTTCCCTCCCATCCTTGTTTTGCTGGCACATTCCACACCCTGTTCTTCACCAAGCTTCTGCTTGCTCAATACCTATACTTCTAGCACATCTCCTAAGAAAAGTATTTCCCAGGAGCTAGGAAGAAACTTACCACAGCATTATAAACAAGGTACTGGGGGAGGGGAAAGAGGCCGTGGAAGAGCAGTGAAAGTTTTTCCCTTCTGTTTCTTCCCTTTCTTGATCAGACCCTTTTAAAGGACTTTGTGGGACACGTGGAAAAACACCGCATATTAAGTCAATGCCCCCTTACCAAAGCCTCTGATGTTTAAAAGTACAGCTGACATTTCTGTATCAAATCCTGAAGATGCCTAGTGAGACCAAAAGTTGCAAACAATATGCTCAAAAGTGCACAGTTTCACTTGTCCTTCACAAATCCATGTTCCAAACTATAGGAATGCTGAACATGTTCTATAAAGGAGGAGGGTATTTGCAGTCAAAAGGCTGCAGCCAGACACAAAACTGAAAACCATAGTCAAAATCCAGAGGATACCAAAATGTTAGTAACTTTGCATGCAAAAGAAAGGCAGTTTTATAATAATCATATACTGCCAACAGCAATGCTATTTGAGTTTGGAACATGCTTTACTAAAAATAATTATTTTCCAAATCCCAGCTGTATGGTAGAACCGTGAAGCAATCAAATGGCAAGTCTGTTTCATGAGAGGAAGATGTCTGTGGAAAGGATTTCAAGTGTCTCTTTATACTTGGGTAAGAGATCTCTTAAAATATTTCCTTTATTCCACACCACATCTATTGGGTTCTTAGACAGTCTTATCGGGGTTCTCTTAAGAACAGGAATTTACTCAAAGTTGCAAGTCATTTTATAACTCTTGCTCACTGATAGAAGCGGTAATTGCAATTACACCTTCTTTCTTAAGTATCAAGGAAACAGCATCTTACTATGGAGAAGGCTACATTTTTTGACTTAGCAGAAAGCAGAGCCATAAAAAAAGGAGAGCTTTATCAGAATCAACAGAAAGGAAACATAGGTGTTAGCACTAAATAAAGGACAGAAAAAACAAACTCTCATCCCTATTTTCCACACAGAACTCCCAATTCTTTCTTGCAAATCTCCATGCTCTAAGGAGCTTTAGCTTTGATAAATTTGAATGTTAGACCTCTGTTTCAGATAGACTAGTATTTATATTTTGTTTTACTAATGAAAAGGAGAATTGTAATACTTTTTTTCCTTTCTTTATATGAAGTACCCCTGAAAAGTGAAAGGCAAGATCCCATGCCCCATACCTATGCATGCTGTGTCACCAACACGGCCAACCAGTTTATTAGAGAGTCCTCCTGTGGATGTTGCACAAGCTACATTGCCTTCACTGTCTATAGCAACAGCACCAACTGTTCCAAGGTCTCTGCCAAGAAAAACAGTTCACAAAATTAGACAGAATTAAAGCATACCTGCCAAAGCACGTTGCCTTTATTTCCCAGGTAGCTTTAAAGAAGATTTCTACAACAGAATTACTGCTCATTATAAAACTATTTTTGCCATGCTTCTCATTACAAAAATAACAAGAAAAGTGCAACAGTTCTCACAAGCTTTGTATTTAACAGAGTAGAAAACACTTTTTTTTAAAATCTTTCCCCCACAACTTGTTTACTTTCATAGCATGGAAACTTGGGGAGGAAAAAAGACCGCAAAACAAAAGCACACAGGGCAGAAATACTTCTAGTCATTATAGTTCTGGAGTAGTTTTTTGGCTGACACACAAACTGACACACAACTTTCCCCTAAATGGCAACTCAAAGATGCAACAATTGGCTCCACTGTCTCAACGGGAGGTTAACCGGAATTATTAATGACAATGCGCATAAATGAGTGAATACAGAAAAGGACAGTAATGTTATGCATGCACTGAATCATTTCCTTCCTGTTCCTCCTCTTTCCTTTTCCTTACTCCCCTTAATGTTTGAAGGCTAAAAAAAAAAAAAAGCTTATTTTCCTTTCAACTAGTATTGCTCACAATGCATCATTAAGACATACTTCAGTCTTTGTACTCTGTAGCTATGTAATCTTGGTTTAAATCCCTTGGCCAGTAGACTCTGCTGAAACTGCACACTGGTTTAAAAATCTTCAGGCACTGAAGAAAACAGAAGTCTCAACTATATTTCTTCAACACAGAAAAGACATATACAATAGCCTGCTCAAAATAGACATGTGTAGTTGTGTATGGAAAAAAAAAAGCCTGTCGTGACTTACTGTAACAGTTGCTGCACTGAGAAGTGAGACATTACTGAGAAGCAACAGTTTAAATATCCATATATTCCAGTCTTAGCAATTCACGTAGGAATATAACCCAGTATGTGACTAGAAGTATACCAAACCCTGAAAATAATCTAAACCACTCCACACAGGAAAATAATTTGTAACAATCCTTCAAGGAACTACCCAACAGGCAACTCGAAAAGGAATACCTTTCGAATTTGCCTGGGCACTGGTGAGGGTTTCTCTATACCTCTGCAAAATCTAAGCTGATTAAGTCAGACAAAGACCTTGTGTACCTTGAAACCCACAGTCAATTTCTCAGAGACCCAACTTCCTGTTCCCTCCTGCTTATGTAAAATATCATACTGTCAGTCCCTACACTTCATTCACAGCAATTCAAAGCTGACTGATGAATCACAGGCCTTATAAGCTGCTCTGACATTTATGTGGAGACGGACCTCATCTCAAACTGATATGATAGTGCAGATGGGCTTCCCACCCATCCATCTGTTACAAATGATTTGCTGAAAAGAACATTAGTAAATTCAGTACTCCCTTGCACATTCATGTAGCACCCTTCAACCAACTAAAGTTAGATCCTCCTGAGAAATTAAGAAAGATGTATCCAGATGTACATTTTCTTAGGTAAGTATTTACCTTAGGCAACTGTGAAAATAAAAGCACACAGATGACACAGGCAGTAATTACCTGTTTAGGTATGAGAGCACAACTGGCAATAAATAACAAAGTGAATGTGTCTAACACACCTCATCTACAGTGGAGCAAATAGACAACTACACTTGATTTCTTACAGTCCCTTTTTTACTGCTTCAGTTTAACCTTTCCTTTGATCATCTTTAGAACAAAGGCAAAGAAAATACATGGCTAGTTGACTCCAAAACATTAACAAGGAAGACAAAACTATCAAATTATAATCATCTCTCTATTTTTAGTTATTGACAGTAGCAAGAACTTCAACAAGTACCTATGGCATACTGGAGGATGCTATTAAGGATTTTTTCCATCAAGAATTATTCCTATATACTACATATACTGTGATACAGAAAGTATTATTTGGATTTGTTCATTCCCTTTTGTCTAAATCTTACATTTACATGTAAGACATATACTTATACTATCCCCATTTAACTAATGAGTTACCTGCAATTTTGTCTCTCAGCACTGCACCAGTAGTGGGGTTTTCTGTTAATTGTTGTTAGGGTCCTTGTTAGTTAATATCTCCTCAAGTTACTCTAGCAGTGGGATTTACAGTGGGGCTAGAAGCCCATTTGCTACATTACAGCCAGACTCAGCACCCTTTCTGTGGGATTCTCAGGCAAACTCCAGTAATTCTTAACAAGGGTATTGCCAGAGTCTTTGCAGCATGAGACTACAGATAAATCAAATCACGCCTCGTTCTCGGCAAGAGGTGTGCAGGATGGAATGCTGTACATGCAATGGAATCCTAAGCTTTCAGCATAAATCAGTGCAGGCTTCTAACCAGCAGAGGAGAAAGGTATCTCTTATAGAGACACCAGATTTTACCTGCAAAGCCTACGAAACCCCAGGGTTTCCAACACTGTGAGGATCAGGAGATTGGAAGTAAAATATACACCAACCTTCGAATTCCCAGTATGATCTGGTATTATGGTGCCTCTGACTAACACTACTTCACCTTCTGTCTGTTCGCCTCAGGCAAGTTTCTGCATAATCACTGTGGACATAACAGGGAAAAAGAACATTCCACGTGTGATACAGAATGAAATGGGTTTGCATTAAAAAAGACGTGTTTTCAACTTTGTGAATTTGTGGTGGTATTTTGGTTTTCAGGAAAAGAACAGCATGGCCCAGATGAGAAAAAGTCTTCAGCCTTTCAGAAATACACAAGCTTTTTATTATCATATATTTCAGAAGTCCATGCTGAAACTGAAGATGCCCAACACTTTTCAGAAAAAAAAAAAGGTAAGAATGAAGGAGTTATGAGGAATGAATGATGACTTAAATGCCATGCTATTCCAATTGATATGTTCAAGAGAACAAGAGGCAGTGGTGGCTACACCACCCTCAAATTCTTTGCAATGAGTGATAATGCCACACAGTCCTTGGACAGACTACAGATCAAAAGAAAACTTCTCTTGGATACAAGAAAAAGACTTAATGGTCAAGGAACAACATCACTTAGTTTACAAGACCATATTTACACTTTGTCTCATCATCACTTTGTTTTTCCTTCTAGCAATTCACTGAAAGTAACATATAGGTTGTAATTTATAGCCTCATTTCAAGGACTTTAATTAACATGCTCACAGAAGAAATTTCTTCCCTCTGATCTACAAATTCAGCTCTGCCCTGCCATTAGTCCTGCTTCACAAAACAGATGAACAGCACATAATAAATCATTTATGTAATGTAATACAGTGTTTTCCTGCACCACAAGCATGGATGTACAAATGGAAGCTCAAAACAATTTAGTGTTATATGCCTACCTCACAGACACAGAAAACATTCTTAACAGCCGATGTTTTTCATTCCTATATTGTCCACCTCACCTTCCTCCCAACTTTATACAAGACTGTGTTGTTTTCCAAGTGATGTTCATTTTGCTGTTGGGCAATACCATCCAGCAGCATATCTTTTCCCACCCATCACTACACTTGGTCATTTTTTTCATTCCTTTTCATAACCAACAGCCACAATCACCACTTAGAAGGAATTACTGGTCAAAGTCTGATGTTTAACTATCTAATCTAATTTAAAGACAAATCTGATCATCTACTTAACCAAGATCAGCTTTCTTAGGTTTTTGGGGTTTTTTGTTTAACTTTAGTATGTGCACTGGAGATTTTTAAAAATAAGTTCCTCCACAGAAAAAGCTATGCAAAATAATACCTACTGTTTGTTATAGCTAATCTATGCACTTCTCTAACTGATGATTTTAAGAGCAGTAACAAGTTCTAACCTTGTTCTCCAATAAAGCCACAAAACCCATGCTATTGTCAAAGTGACCAATAATCTACTTAAGCAGCAACAAGTTTCATCAAGTTTGTTTCAGTAATTTAAGTTTAAGCAAATTCATTGAAAGCTTGATTTTCTACTGCTTTCAATAAAGACATACTGCAAAGACTGTATCAAACCACATAACATTTGGAATACAGGCCTTCAAGGTTTGTGTTTATTTGTTTGGGGTTTTGTTTTTCTTGGTCGCTTTGTTTGGGTGTTTTTGGTTTCTTCTGAGTTTTTTGGTAACCAGATAGCACAAATTAAATTATCCAAATTAGAAAAGAATATATATATTTTTTACCTACTTCTGAAACTCTTCAGGGTTGGAATCTGGTTCAAGGTTCTTCTTCCATCTCTCCCGGGATCTCTCAGTTATGAGTTTCTCCCCTGGAATTTCAGGAATACCCATGGCCTGAGCAAAGAGGTGTGCACCATGGTCAGTCAGCAGCATGTGCTTTGTCTGCAGAAAGACAAGAAATTAATTGAAAATTCTTCCTTGGTCTTGTACTGAGCAATTTTGTATAACTGCTATTTTTAGAAATATCTACACAAAGAAAATTACAAATTTTATTTTAAACATTTCTAAACTTCTGTCCATATCCCCTTCCACTATAGCTGAAAAAGCTTTCAGTTCTCCAAACCACAAAGTTTAACCATCAACAGAAAAGAACTGCACTTATCTATTTAAAACTTGGTATAATGGGAGAAGAAAAATTGATAAATTTGTTCTTTAGCTAATTCGTGTGCAACTGTTTTGTACTGTTTCAAATGAATCATCAAATTACTACACAACTAACTGTTTTGTCCAGTTAACGAAGAGATTTATTTTAAATATTTCCTTCAACAAGCTACTATTCTTATTAACTCAGAGGATCAAATTTAAGCACAGAGTACTTTCTAATGGGTTTGACCAAACAATATTTACTCTTCCTAACAATACTTGAAAGTTCTATTTTGATTCCTTTATTTACAAAGCACTTCAAACCAGATTTTAATTCAACAATCTTAGTTAATTCCATGTTTCAAAGTCCATAGAGCTTGGTTAATTCATATTTTAGAGAAACTTGCCAGATAAATTTGTTTAATTAATCCATATACTTTAGTAGCTCTGAAATCTGATTTTCTTTTTTTTTTGTTTGTTTGTTTGTTTTAATGTGTCAAAAAGTATGCAGCAGCTTCTTGCACAATTACATAGCTGTCAATTGCTCATCAGAGCCTGGGAAGGTTTCAGAGAAGTGGTGGTCTGACTATACAACACAGAACAATTTCAGAGCAGAGCAGCTAACTTAGAGCAAGCATTTCTGTCCCTGCAGCAGCACAGCACACCAGAACACCTGAGGTTCAAGCAGAATCATGTGATGCTGGAGGCAGCAGGCCTGCAGAGCCTTGCAAAGCACCCATGTGGCACAGTCCCAGCTCTTGCCCAGAAGCAAGGACAGCAGAGGCTGGGTATTTCTATGTCATGCTACATTCTTGAGGACATTCAGAGTCTCAAAGCTTCAGGTTAAGATGTTGCAGACCATCAACTGCTGTTGATTTCTACAGCAAAGACAAGTAATCACTACCATGACCAACACACAGCACTGCATTGTTTTAAAGGATTCCAGACAAACCTCTTCCCATGTCCAAGACACTGATCTCTACTTAACCCTGTTACAGCCTCTGAATTAAGCCCTTTGGACAGGGACAGAGGACTACACTTTAGAAACATTTCTGATGTCGCAGACCTGCTCTCAAACATTTTTGAAAATTTAAATGCCTTTTTAATTAATCTTTAATGCATGAGAGTACTGTTTTAGGGAATACTAAAGGTGACAAGGCAGAAGTCCCCTGTACATGTGAAAGCAGACATCAGGCTTTCATGCTGAGTGCTGTTACCATATTACCAGACAATGTAAGACCTACCTATTTCTAACAAAACTAAGAGGTAGTGTTCTTTGACTTGAAAGCCAACTTCTTTGTGCAACACTGCCCCCCTCTGCCACTACCACTAACCCATGAGAAGCACACAATACAATACTCAAAATAGTTTTGGTTTTAATTTGTGGATGTGGGTTGGGGTTTTTTGTTGTTTGGTGGGATTTTGTAGGAAATTTGAAGTTTACTTTAGTCTTGATCTGAACCAGAAGGCTGTGTCCTCCATCCCTTCCTTTCTTCAGCAACTAAGACTACATAATCCTTTAAATAAGTTTTAAAAATATAAAGCTTTATTATAAAAAAAGGAAGTTACTTCTAAACTTTTTCATAGGATTCCATCCCATTGCAAATATGCATAACATATGCACCTTCCTAGACTACACAAACTTGAGTATTGATAAATAAACTTCTATGACAGGACTTTGTGTTTGGGGTTTTTTTTTCCTTCTTTTTCAGTCTTCACTGAAAATAAGATGTCTTAAGGTGATTTTTGTCTTTCTCTTCAGCAGATGTCGTCAGTCACAAGAACTAGTAGAACACTGTCAAACAATGCAAAAAGCACATTCTTCTGTCTCATTCTTCCAGTTTCATTAATATGTTTGCTAATGTAAGTGCCTGGAAGACATTTACATAAAGTAATCCAAAAGGACAAGGAAAGGGTTCAAGAGATCTTACAAATAAGTAAAAAATGATGGCACTTTTAGTTAATTTCACTGGAAATGGGAAAAATACCCCAAATTTCTACTTGGCCTAAAGTTCAAAGCATCACAGTTGTTTATTTAACAATTCTGGCAGCACAGAAAAAAACCTGGCCCTTTGCTTACAGAAGTCTGTGTTCTAAGCTAAATAAAAATCACTTCACTATATCGTTATATTTATGTTCAATACAAACAGGAATAATTAAACAGAAATTTAAGTGCTTTTTCAAGAATGTGTTATACTAGTTAATGTACTCTAAGTTTTCCACTTCTAGAAGCTACTGTGAACAACAGTACAGTAAATAATGAATGGAAATTATTCTGGTGCTCTCCTTTTTTCTGCTCCATGAATTTGGACAAGTTTGAGCCCAGTGGGAAAGTGACAGCCAAAAATGACAAATGTGTTGCAGCAACAACGTAGAGGAGCTACTCTGGCCACCAGATGGAGCTCACACTGTTCCATAATAGGATGGAACTACAATTACAAGCAGAAGTACTGTGTGGTTTTGGTTGGTTTGTTTGTTTTCGGGAGCTGCATGCTTCAAAATTCTTTATGGCATTAAAGCACCTCAAAACCACTGGGAATTATGCATACAGACTGAAGACCCCAGGAAAACTATCCTTATTGCCCCCAAGTCACACAGTTAAAATATTTTTTAATTAAGCACAGTACAACAAAACACACTATAAAATGCACTGTGAAATACCCTGGGTTGGTGTCTCAAAATTCCTGTCCAAGATAGATGGGAAACAGGAGCAACATCAGTTGGTATTCCCATTTACGGGAGATGGAGAAGCGCAGAAACTCGCCGCAAGATAACATCAAGCAATTTAGGCCAACATTTACATTTGAGATTTATCATTATGCACACAGATTTTTTTGCATTTTGGCAAAGAGTAATACCTTTACCACAAAATGTCATGGTGTTAGGGCTACACCATTATACTTGGTCCCGTACAGTAGAACTTTATGATTTCATTTCAAATTTAGTATGGATGCTAGCTTTGGAACAGGCTGCAGGGAGCTGCAGAAACTGCAGGCCCATGGCCTCTCAGTCCTGCCTGAGAAGCTAGCCTGGGAATTCAAAGGAGGATTTCAAAACAATCCTCAGAGACAGAAAACAACTGCCAGGTGCTGTTTATCTGTCCTCTTGTTCTCCTTGCAGGAGGGAGTCAGGGGGGTTGTGTGCCCCTGACCAATGATGGTGATGTAGCACTTTGTTAACCAATAAGAGTTTCCTTTTTGTACTTTCCACGTATCTGTCTATAAGACAGGCCTGAAGCAATAAACTAGAGGAATTCTCCTGTTGTGACCCCCTTGAGGGTCCGTGTCGTTCTTTATCGCCGTTCCCAATCGGAACGACAATTTAGCCTCAACACTTTTGAACACCAGCAGCACCATGCAATGACCTTGTAATAGACAAGACAGAGGAGAGAGCTGTTTCTAGTAATTTCTAGCTAATGACAAAATAAATCCATATGAAGGAAGAAACTTTATTCATCACAACTTTTAACACTGCTTTCAAGTAAACATACATTTCATAGAAGTATTTATATCCAATATTTTAGCGAAACATTCTGATCTTAAAAATAGAACTATCCTACAATTAAGGACACAAAAAAATTCTATCTGCTTTGGAGGCCATTGAGGGCAAGATAAATGTCAATCATCTTTATGGATCACCAAAACAGTTTTTGCTTCCTCAGAAGTCAATCTGAAAGGTTAGAGAAACGTAAGTCTTCTTTACTGGTGTTTTTATAAATATGAACCTTTTCAACAATGGGGCAGCTGCACTAGTAGGATGAAAATGTAAACTTCAAAGACAGGACAAACTTTTGGTCACTGTCACAGCCTCATAACAGTAAAACAGACAAATATCACACAGATCACTTACTCCCATCCTGACATAGAACAGTTGTACCACATCTGAAAAATAAGGTAAGTCTGCTGTGGCAAATATTAAAAGGACTTAGTGGAATAAGGTGGGATTGATCTTATATAGAAGGTCAAGTAATATTTTACTGCTCTGATGAATTGGATTATCTAGGAAAATCTGTCAGCACGACATAGAGCTAATGTTATCTTCTACTGACAGTAGACTACAACTGTCCTTGTGCTACCACCTGATCAGGTCACAGTGGAGAAGGCTGCTCAGAACAACAAAGGAGTGCATTACATAGCCAAATATGTAACTGGGTCATTTAATTCAGTTCCATACCACTGCAAAGTGAACAGTGTATTACCTAACTTTAATATTGCAAGATCAAGCACAACACCCAGTGGCAACATAAAAGCTCTTCAAAAGCCAAGTGAAAAACAACAAAAATACCCTTGAATACCAGCACTGGAGCTACAGAAGACCAACATGTATAGGTCAAGTTATGTTTCCTTAGAATGCTATTGTTTATAAGTATTTCTCAAAAACCCTTAAAGTAAGTGCTTCATGGTCATGATCACAGTTTCCAAGGACTGATCCCTTCCTAACTGCTTTAAAGCACTACACAAACATCATCACTGAGGTGTATCAATATACTGGATGAAGTTCAAAAGAAAAGAAAATGCTTCATACTCAAGTAGATAACCAGCATACCTTTTCCATAACAAGTCGAGCAAGTTTTATTGGGTTTGCTATGCACTTAACTGCAGATACTGCTCCAGAGTCTAAATTTTTTCCATCCATGATAATGGCATCCATTTCTACTTCACCTTTTTCATTTAGAACAGATCCACAACCTAAAGACAAATAAAAAAAAATTAGGGGCCAAGAGAAAAAGAAGAAAGTCATTAAGAGCTAACCACCCAGGTGATTCAATTATAAGCTCTCATCAAGCAACCTTTCTTTTTCCCACTTTGCTGACTTACTGAAAGTATCTCCCAAATACAAACAAAACAGCAGAAACACTGCTGAGTATAACCACAAAATCCAGCCATTAACAGTCTCATGGAGTATAACATCTATTTAAAAACTGAGTTTTATTTTTTATAAGATGAAAACACACTTCCAATACCATCCAAATTATCTACTTGGTATTAAAGTTAAATCAACAAACCATCACAAACAGAATTCTTTATTCCTTAGATCACTTTTAAGTGTACAAAACTATTTTGCCTTCACAGTTCTTCTAAAGGAGGATACACCACCACCCAAAAAAGGAATAGTATAACTTTTGGTCCTATCAACAGATTAACATCACACAGCACTCCAAGAAACTGCCAAAATTAATGGAGCAGAATAAGTGTCCTCTTACTACAGTAGCAAAAGCTTGAAATAACAAGTTCTTCCATTACCAAATAAAAACAGTATATAGAGTAATTTTAAAAAATAGAAATTAAGTAATAAAACATCAGGTAGTTATCTTCTATAATCATCAGTGCTCACTAACCTAATTGAAAATTAATGATGTACAAAATGAAACAATGCAAATTGTGTGTTTTTTAAAATAATGCCAATAATTGTACCACAGAAGAATAATAGGTTGTAAGTCACCAAATGCACAAGCCTTGCTAATATAGATGGTAAAGACTAAACCTGAAAAGAAGTACAAAACCAAACCAAAATATGGCAGATTTACACAGGTAGGTAAAAAGGTAAAAATGCTTTTTACCTGAGCATTTACAATGCTCAGGTAAAAAGACCTGAGCATTGTACATAACTAATCCAGTAGGGTTTTTCTCCTTTCTGTTAAAGCAACATTAAAGCTGTCCAGAAACCACTGTTAATAACTGACATAAAACTTCTATTCCAAAGTACTTCAGACCTTAATATATGAAATTAAAACCTTTGTGACAAAAGGCAGCTAAATCCTGTAATTCTTCTCTTGTAATCTCAAAAACTGCCCTTGCCACGTACAGACACACCCCTAAAAATTTTTTACCTGTCTCCAATTGCATTAATTATTCCACACTTCAGTCCTACATCATTCACAATATGTTAATTTCTAGACTGATCTGTAAAGAGCTTACAGTTTAATTGCCTTGTACAACTTGTGTCAACATCATTCTTCCAGCTTTTCCTTATGCTAGTAAGGAATTGTTTTCTTAGCTAAACCCTGCCATACTCTTTTAACTTCTTTTGACAGGGTAGGCTTTCTAACATGTGATCACAAAATTCCCACTAGAATTAGGGTACCATTTCTCAAGCATCAGTGACCAGAACCATGGTTCCATGGTTCAAGGAGGCCCCTTCATCACTGCATTAAGAGTATCCTATGTCTACTGGACATACCTCATAGGATACATGTTAGGATTTTCTAAAACTTGCTGAGCAGAAAACAGTTGCAGACAGTTTCTGTAACCAAAGGCAGCTTTCTAAAAAAGTCTCCTCTTACAGCTGGTAAAGAGATACATGTACCTTCTAAGAACAATTTATCCCACTTGCCATAGACTCACAGAAAGGCCTGGGTTGGAAAGGATCTTAAAGATCATCTACTGCCAACTGCTTTCCACAGTCAGGAACACCACCCACTAGATCAGGTTGCTCAGGGCATGATCCAACCTGGCCTTGAATACTTGCAGGGATGGGGCATCCACAACTCCTACAGCTTTGAAGCTGTGTAGCCAACTTTTGCATTCCACTAATCACCACAGAAGTCTGTACGCCACTGTAAAGCTACTTACTAAACTTGAGGTGATCTCAGGTGGGATGAATCCTCCCTTCTGTGGTTACCTTTTACCAGTAAAGGTAAAGTAAAAGGCTTCCTTTTTATCTGCCTTCCAAACCAATGGGTAGGGACTACCAGCCTCTGTGGCCATGGTATCCATTGGCAGACGAAAAATAAAAGAAACAGACAACAGAAGACAGACAATCTAGGAGGAAACAAATAATCAACATATCTGACATCAGCCTAATCACAGCTGGGATACTGAGAGGAGTACTGCAACTCTGTCTGTGGATAGATAGATCTATTCTCTGCAAAGGCTGCATAGGAAAGAGTGTGCAAGGATCAACAGAATGTCAGTTCTTACACCTGGAGTACTCACGCCAAGCTGGTTCATACTCCTAGCCAAAGAGATGACACAGAAATATAACCACGCCACAAGTAGAACTTGGTAACTTTACTGTGCTGCACAAGTCACAAAAATGGTAATTTTATACACCAGTATAGCTTCTGAGCCCTTGCACTAAGCCTACATCAAGATGATCCTAGATAGCATGGCTACACCCTTCCATGCAAAAAAGGACACAACTTGATTGTTCTGCCCATTCTTCCCCATCTTTATTGTTGTCTCATAGCAATGTCTGTGCTTGCCTAGAAAATATTACAGCAAAATTGATTTTATTCTTTTATGAAGATAAATACTACACAGTGAGTTTTAAACAGCCACTTCAATCAGGGTCCTCTTCAGCTAATTTTTCTTTCAGCTAATGTTTGTCAGATTCTGAGAGCAGCTGTACCTAATAAGATTTAACACAATTAGATATATCTGTAAGTAACAGACTACTTGCTGCTTAGACCATCATAGCCGAACCTGAAAAATGGGTGGAGGCTCAAGTCCAGTTAAGTAAAAGCTAAATGAGAGAATGCCACCCTGATGCTAACTATATAGAAGTACAAACTACATCTCCAGGTCCATTTCATGATTTCAGCTTGAATGCTCTAAAAATGAAAATGTTCAACCCAAGACAGAAACAAAACAATGAAAGTTTCATATTAAAATAAGCTGCTCTCAACTGCAAGGTGAGACAGAACGAATGAAGTTCTGCACATAAAATAATAGCTATGCTATCTATAATACTGAGCACCTACAGCTATTTCATTCCATGTTGTTTTCTGACATACCATGGTGGAAGTGGGGAAATATTTTTGCTGAAATTCATCAAAATAATAAACTTGAGGTCCTAAGAAGAGGAGAAAGTATTTGATTACTACCACTAACATTAATTCACATTACTGATTAGGAAATCCAGTTATGAACCCTTACTATAAGAAGGTACAGATTTATGACTCATACCATTATTGCATTGCTTCTCCAGTATTGTTTACAAAATTACTAATTGCAAACATTAATGAAGAGAAACACACCTAAAATCCCCAAAACTAGTATTTCTATGGCAATAGGTAAAGGTCAAGCACTGAGGATTACGCAATGCTGCAAGGTATATCCCAGTGCCTTAAAGAGGAACATTAACACATATTCCATAAGAGTCCATGTCTTAAAAGTGGATCTTCATAGCACAGTAACAGAAGATTTACAGAAGAGTAAAACAGCACTACACAAATTAAATGGCTGATAGATAACACTGAAGAATGGGAAAAGCATAAGTCATCTTCCTAAGCGTACTCATGAGAAACTACAGTACATACCATGGTGAGAAATCCACTCACAAAATTTATTTTGTGAAACTAGTATTTACTCCACTGCAATGTACATAAATCAATAATAATACAAGCTAGAATTTGCAGAAGCATCTGGGCAAAACACTTGAAATATAATATGATTTTAAATCCACTTAATTATTAAAAAACTTACCTGCATTAAAATGAGGGTCATCTTCCATTGACCGTACTGCCTCCTCAACTGCATCTACAGCACTGCCTCCCTGCCTCAGGACACAGTAACCTCGCAGTGCAGCTCTGACAACACCAGCACGACATCCCTCTTCTCTCTCCTTGAAGATCCGGCCAGCTCCACCATGCACCACGATGACAGGCTTCATCCTGCCAAGTTCCTCCCCAGGCTTTCAGCTGTGCACACAGGTCAGCCGATTGGAAGGGGTAGTCTTTAGCATGTGCTTCTTTCTACATGGAGAATGGCTCCAGGTTAGGTAACGCATGTGGGCAGTTTGCCACAATTTTACCTTTTGGGAAGCCAAGCACTCACATGGATGAGCTCCTAATCCAGTCTGGATGAGACCCCAGGCAATTTGGTGCAACTCTGAGGCCAGCCCTGCTTTGAGGAAGGATTTGGGTGAAGTGGCACAGAAAGGGCCCCTTTCAGGCTAAGTTACTCTACAATCTTGTTGCTTAGTATGAACATTGTGTGGTGATTATACATTACATGAGAACAAGCCTTGAGTAACCCCTGACCCTGCTAACTGCTCTTTGTTTTAGATGGGTAGCCTGTTGTCAGAGTACAGTAATATCACCAGCAATAAAGAAAGGCAACTGACCCGACCCGAGTTAAAGGCTTACCCCGCTCAACCCCCTGGATCCGAGACCTCTGGCCTCTTGCAACACTTTGAAGTTCGAGCAAGAAAACAAGGTGTTCATTCACACCTGGCAGCCAACACCTTGTTGTTACTGCTCATGGCCTCCTACGAGCTAAAGAGATTGCTGCTAGCTGCTACACACCTTTGGTGATGCAAATCACCGATTTTGATTCCAGAAAAAGGCAAAGAACCAGCAGCTAACTCGTCTCCTGCTGAAATCTGGGGCACCTCTCAGAGAAAACTCCCCTTTTGAAAAAGTTTCTCGGGGACGGCTATTTTTGGAGGCTGTGAAGACTAGAAACTAACAGCCTTTCCCCTCATCCTACAGGCAAACCCCCCGACAGAGCCTCCCGCAGCCCTCCGGTCCCTCGCATTCCTGCTGCCCCAGGGGAGGCCGGCCGGGATGCCAGCAGGCGGGGAACAGAGGAAATCCCAGCCGGGGCCGCTGTGGGGCACAGCATCCCGTAAGCGAGGCTGCTCGGGCTTTTATTTCAGCCAGCAGCAACGCTCTTCCCTCACTCAGCACACGCTACCCTCGGCCGTAGGCTCAGGCCTGCCGCGCTCAGGGCAGGCCCC